ACAGCACTAAACAGCAGACAGACACAGTGAGCGACAATCTTGTGAGCATTTGGCACGACTGACTAATGGACTTGCTTTCATCTGGTTGTCAGAAAAACGAATGAATGCTTATGTTGTTCAGTATCTGCTAGACGTGTGAATAGGCTTCTGTTTACTTACAGTACCGTGTCAACTTAAAAGGTGATGTTGGTGTCAGTGTTGTGTTCCAAACTTGTGGCATGAAAGTCAATATGTGTGACAGAGAGTATCACTGATGATTAGATTGAAACCAGGAAGAATATGGGACCATTTGCGGCAATAAGAAAAGTATATTGTGTCCATTACTGGCACCCAATTTAGCTTTGGGCCAACTCTGAATCTTGGCTCTTTGCTGTATTAAATGTCCTCTAACGTCCTTGCCTTTCATTTGACTCTCCACGCTTTCACTAACTGATCAATTTAGCTGAAGTGCATAATAAATAAATATAATGTATTAAACAAATTATTACTGACTGATTATGATTGTCTCATCATATCAATCTATCATGAATCAGTCAATAGGTCCAAATGCAATTTTGAAAGAATAACCCTCCGTTTCAAAGTATAATAAAAAAAAGTGTACGTAAGTGTACTGTACTGAATTTAATTAAATGTATTATGTCAACACATTTCACACAACTGTATTATGTTAGTTGAAAGCAATAATATTAAGTTGAACCTAATATTTTACAAAGTGATGTGAAATCTGTTGAGATAATACATTTAAATAAAGTCAACGTTTTTTTTTTCTGTGTACAAGTAGTAGTAAGTATAATCTGTGTTTTGTTAATGAAGGATTGCATGAGAAATGTTCCCCTGCAAGTTTGAGAACCCCTGTTTTAAACACTAAACTGTGTACACAATCATTCATGGTGGACAAAAAACAATTCTGACCCAATCTTTTCAGGTGCTGAAAAGTCCCATTGAGCCTGGATGATGCACGAGGCGTTATTGGACTCCCAGTGTTACAGTGGAGTCCAACACATGATTTCCGCTCCACTGTTTGCTTGGCACAAGCAACAGCAGCTTTCAAACATTTATCATATATGAGGTTACTGGTTGAATGCTTGCCACAGACATATTTCCTGGGGATGTCTCTCTGTAATATCACTGGCGGATCTGAGAGAGTGTTTTCTATATTATGTAAAGGCCACGTCATAACCATAAAGAGAGTTTGCCACTGTATTGAGTTGGGTTTGAGGTATAGGGAGCAGGGCTAATGTTGATGCAATAAAAAGGGGTTTGGATTTAAAGTGCACAAGCCCACACATTACAAACATACACAGAGGCATGATGGATTACTTTCCTTCATCATGGCAGGGCAGAATGCTTCAGTATGTATAATGTGTGTGCTCATATCATTTTTTTCACATTTAGACGTTAAAAGATTACAAGGATAAAGACATCCTTTTGCTTATAAACTGTGACTTGAGTGGCTTTTTATAAAGAGTATAATACCTTTGATAACATTGCAATGAGTTTGATAGAAGCCTCATGATAATTACAGTGAATACTTTTCAATACCAGGGCCCCCCAGACAAATATATTTTTGCATGTCCTACAATTAAGAAATACATTGAACAAAGTACATTGCATGTTGATTGTGATTAAGAAGTAAAGTGTGTAATATACAAAAGACCCGCACAGTGAAGGCGTTTGACAAATGTTGAGCATGAGTCAGAAAGAAAGTATACACATAGAGATGGATGCAAACCCCATTATCAGCCGTGGCTCAAATTGAGATATTTGAATAGCAGACGGGGTCTTTCTGCGGATCTGAAGTGCATCTGTCCTCTAATTGATCTGGCTGCAACACCACCACAACATTTCCTGGGCTGTGGCGGAGATTCCTGGGGATGTTTGCTGTACTGTATGTTGAAAGCTCAGAATAGAATGAGACACAGACAATTAGTGAGAACTCCTCTGGGCAGCTCTTCAAATCCCATCGGACTAGTAACAGCCTTAATGCAGTTGGTAATGAGCTGTGAGGCGGATGGAGCTGCACTTGGTTGTTAAGACGACTACATCTTACTATAGTTAAATCTTTAATAAAAACACTTGGAAGTATGAATTATTATATGATTTTTTTCTCAGAAAAGCACACGTTTTTCTTACGGTAAGGAAAATGTTTCATTATTTTTCTTAAAAGGATTGACACAAAATAATGCCCAATTATTGATTATCTGGCAGTACATTTAATACTGGTGATAACTTTAACATTTACGACCAGACAATATAGAATATACAATTCATGTAATAGAAGTAACTTATTAAATAACAATAGGCAACTCAGACCTAGCTTTACTGTTTATAATAAGTATATAATGGAGTAGCTTTAAAGGATATTACAGCTTTACTGCCTAGATTTTATTAATAGGAGTCTGAAGCATTGGGCCGGTGTCCATAGCATCTGAATAAAAAACCTCCCCTGTGCAGATTGATTTATGTGTTGATAATAATGTACAGTGAAAATCCTTGTTATTTGTTTAATGTGTGTATAATTTCATATTTGTTACACATGAGTTCCGTCAGGAATACCAGCTGTCGCTTATTTCCCTTTGCTGGTGGATTTTCTTTTGTTGTTTTGCTAAAATGTTCTTAGACATAGATATCTTTCAACAGGCTTTGAGGTGAATGACATTACTTTGTGTTCCAGCACAATATAACAACTGCATTCAACAAAGATATTGCTCTCACCTGTCTTGTGAAAGAACTTCCCAAAGTTGATCCCCTCATCTTCTTTCTTACTTCTGTTTGTTAATTCTCAAATTAGTACAAGTACAGAGCAGTTTTCAAATAAATGTCAGCAATACAAGAAAGGACACACCTCTGTATCTAACAGGTTTGAAGTACTACAGAAATGTAATGCAATCTATATTCAGGAGGCGTGAAGCACATCAAGTTAAGTAGGAGCTCTCTGTCTCTCTTCTATTTCCTCTCTCTGTACAAATCCAATTTTCAGCGTCCTGTCCGTCCGCTTCATTCAGACCAGCAGGTTTCAGGTCTCACTTTGGGCAGCTAAAAATACTTTATCTTCACTCTCTGAGAACTGAATCAGACATGTAATTCACTTATGACTGGCCCCATAAGTGTGTTCTTTGTAGACAGTCCAGATAACCAGTAGACCACCGACGTGCTGAAATGTTTAGGAATTCACCAGAAATATAGAGCAGCCACATCGATAGGAAGCACTGCAGCAACTTAAAGTCATTGTAAAAGCAAATATGACAAATACAAAATATGACATGGGCCAAGTACAGGATCGAGCACCAGATGTTCACATTCCTAGTTTACTCTCAACTCAGAGGAGCAGTTAACACACAGCTGAGCCTTTGGATACCTGGGTGAACAATATGACCGACTGAGCTCAGTCTAAGCTATTTCATTTAGATCCCTGTGGAGCCTGAGCTTGAGTGTGTGAATGCAATAGCTACACCCACTAAGAATAACATTCAAATGCAAACTATTGCATTAATGAAAAACATTTAAAAATCAAACCTAATTGAACATTAACACAAAAAATATATATATACTGTATGCTCTATTTTTCATACGGGACATTCACAAAGAGTTTGTCTCCAATAAAATGTTAATTCATTGCAACTGAAGCTGGGTTAGGTTTCATTATTGTATTAACGTTTATTACAGCAATTACCTTGTTAAGAGTGCCCTCCAGGTCTTTAGCGTTACTCCCATGATTTTGAAAAAGAAATGTCAAAAGCAGCCCCTGAGGCTGATATATCCTGCCTTTTGGTACCTTTTTACCAAAGTTTTAAATTGGACCCTTTCTGCCTGGTAAACTTTTGTAGCTTTAAAACGTCATGCTTCATTCTTGAAGTGTAGTCTCCAAGCTGACTCCAAGCTGACATGCTTAGGTTGATTTTTACTTGAGTTATTTTCCTCGATGCACTAAGTTCTTCCAGAGCCTCAGTAGAAATGGTTTTCAGAGGCTGGGTATGATCCTCTCGTGACTAGTACATTTACTTTGACATGTATAATTGGTGGAGTGCCTCTTGGAAGTTAGCAGAACATTGTGGTCATGGTAACATTGACAGGTTTTTGTGGCGCCTTAAGAACGTTAATACTTCCTGTATTAGCCTGTGAAAATAAAGCATAAAAGACAAGGTTGGAAACTATGGGGTATGTAAAGAAAAGAGTGAAATAGTGAACGCTATATTGGATAACATACATTTAAATAGAGTGTTTTGTAAAATAGAATGTATGATTGTTTAGATATGATGTCGAAACTGGTTGAAGTTGTTTTGGCCAACAATCTGGATTTTGAAGGGTGATGCATTTAGAGGACCCTCCACCTCCTTACAGTATGTGATTTTGACTAAAAAGTCAAATCCAGCATGTTTTGATAAAATATAAAAAAATATAGTCACATCCCTGCGTGCAAATACAACTACTCACACACGCACAGACACAATGAAAATTACACTATTGGTTATTTACTGTCGGCCGCTGTAAGCAAAAAAAACACTGGATTACAGCACAATCATCCATTCATTTGCAAAATGAATGACTCATGGATTTTACTGTGAGAACTTGAGTTCTCCTTTAAATTTGGAGCTTGCAGGTACCAACACATCCATGTTTGTTGGTACAGTGCTTGATCCTCTACTTTTCATCGCACTTACCTTTAATTCAGGCCTGTCAAATAAGAGCTGACTTTGTGATAACGTGTGCAGCAGATACTCAACCACATTGCACTTTATCTTATTGATTACATCAATTAACTTCAACCCTAGTCAACCTCTCCCTTATTACATTATGTTATGCATACACAACAACACCTTAATCTGTGCTAAATCATTACACAAAGACAGTGAGCGAGGAACAAGCCCTGCATCATTCCCTGCCTGCTCCTACAGGCTGCTTGCTGTGTGTCTTCAGTGCAATGGGATTGGTGAAAACTAGAGTTTCCCCACATTGCTCCTCCCATGTTTCCTCCCTCCCTCACTATCTCAGTTGTGTTGGGGTACAACAGCTCCTGCTCCTGTGGGAAAATCACTCCTTCAATCGCCCACGCTCACAACTGACTCTCTATCTTCCTCTCCCTCCCTCTGCTGATCCCTTGTTTCCTGCTGTGTTTCTTCATCCTTCCTTCAGAGCCACCTCACTAGGATCCAACCAGGATCCACAAACCAGCTCTTCAAGGTAAGAAACAAACAAAGCTACTTTCCTTCACATGCATACATATTTATTTAGCACACACAACACTCTAGAATATTTCAAACACAGTTAAGACTGCTTTACTTTCACTGGGTTTATCTCCTGTGATTATGCTATATGGGTGTGTGGACATGTTTCAACACACACTCCTTTACTCATGAGGACCAGTCCCCACAAGCAGAGGCTACATGTTCAAATGTTCTTGCAGGGGTGATGTGGGTGTTAATTCTTGCTATGCATATGTAAAGGAAATACTTTAGATAACTTTGTTTGCGGTATTGTGTAATTTGTTTACCTTGTGCACAAATGAACTGTAATAGGGGTGTGGTTGTGTATAGGGCTGGATAACAGAGAACTGCATCTATTGAATACAAAACAGTTTTCGGTGTAATATCACAATATATTATGTCCAATTATATGAAACATATTGCTGCTTTGCTCTTATTTTACTTTTTTAGATGAAAATTATTCTTACAAGAAATAAACTCAGAGATAAAATACAGAGTATAGAGATAAAGGCAAATTACAGGAATTTACTTAAAACAATTCTAAAAACAAGTTGCCCATCTCTTCTTAGCTCACTTGCTTCAACTGTGAGTGTCTCCACATTTCAGTATTTGTGATGTAATGTTTTATGGAAGGAAAAAAATATATTTGTCAAATCATATTGAGAAGAAATACTGTTCATATAATAGAGACACAAACCTGAATTACCCCTTCTTTAGCTGTAGTAAAGCACACATCAACCAACAAATTACAATCCCTTTGAGTTGTTGTTTGAAATACTTGGTAGCCTAAACTATTATTATGAAAAGTCACTGGGATTTAAGCAACCTGGACCCAACAGCAGCTGGCCAGTGAAGTCAGAGATCAATGAGCTCATGTTCCCGTGCGCTTTTAGACATGTTTCTCTTTCTTCATGGTGCAAATGATTAAAAAATGGTTAAATAGATTTCAAAAACAGCATATTGATATTTTTTCCTTGGGCACACAGCAACCTTAAACGCCAAACTCATTATACTGAAGCACATATTTAAATCTTCGGGTTACAGAGAAAAAGCTTAAATATTAGAGAGCAGAAAAGCAATCGTAAATCAGCTCTGATTTCTTTCGTTTGTCTTATCTTTCTTATCTTTCTACCCCCTCAAGTCCATGTGTATCACAAGCCTGGGAAAAAGCCATTAATCGCTATAAAAATAAAACACAAAAATATATACATTTCATATATAAAACACCAACAAAGACACACACAAAAGTATTGAGCCGACTAAATCTGCGTCTGAGGATGGTCTGAGACATGTTTGTTGACATTTCTTCAGGTTTTAATCACAACTTGTCTGGCAGCGTTTACCTGGGTGTTTTCACCTGGAGTTGCCGTGGTGACTGTAAATGCCGTGATGTAAAAGATCAACAAATATCCTGTTGCTGCTGGCTTGTTACACTCTACTGAAAACAGAGGTGTCAAATATTTATTTGGGGTTTAAACAGCTTAAAAGATGATTAAAGTAAGAAATAAAGAGGGGAAAAGAAAGAGGGGGGAGAATTGTGTTGCAGCATACCAAATGTTTGTCAGTCTGATAATGACAGGGCTGAGACAGTACCATCTAATAACTGAAGACTGACACAAGGTTGTAACTAGTAGGTTGCATCCATTTATGACCTCCCATTGCCATACAGACAACCAGTTAAAGCACAGGATGGTATTATCCATTGCTGTGCCATTGATTGTTATTTTAATGACTATAAAAGAAATGTATGCTATACAAATGAAGAAATTACATAGCATGCCATTGCTAAGCTTAGTTGTTGTTTTAACTATAAATTATCACCATACACAGTGAAAACTGCACAGCACATCACCAGTACGGAGCTGCCATTCAAAAGTTCAGGTGTCTTATTTTGAAACAACATCCATAACTTTCATCTGGCTGCAACTTAGAAATTATTTATCTAATATATCATATTCCAATCACTTGTTTATAGACTCTTATTGCGCTATTTCACTATTTTACTATTTTTCTTTTTGTATTTACTTGCATACATTTTTTTCTGTTTTTTCTGTTTTATTGTGTTGCACTGTTGGAAGAGCCTGTGACCTAACATTTTCATCGTCATAACTACACTGTAGCTATGTACGTATGACTAATAAAAGCCTTGAACCTTGAACCTTGATACCAATGATACTAGCAAAATGTAAAAAGTATAGAATTGACAGCATGAAAGGAAAAGGGAATAAACCAGATCATTTACAAATAATTTTTTTAGAGTTTGCACACATTCAGATCACAAGCAGCTGCTGTTCAAAGTTTGTGTGTGAACTGTTAATGCATCAATAATGCATTTTACTGAAATACTGGAGTTGTGTGATTCTGGTCTTGTGTGACTTTCCTCCTCCAAAGCACATATGGTGGTTTTAAGTGCTTTTCTCCTCCAAAGCACATATGGTGGATCTGGCGTGAAACACTGTTTTCTGCAATTCAGCAAAAACTTGAAGCTCAAACAGAGCATGCTATGTTTATTAACAAGATCCAAATCTGAGTGAAAAATAGTTTATCTGAGGTTAGGATTTTTCCATTGCCGGATGTTTGACATCAAGTTCCTTTGTTCTGAGTGTTTGTACTCAAGGTCTTTTTGTTTCATCATAGCCATAAAGTAGAATCTAAAACAAAACAAACCTAATGATCAGCAGATTTTCCTATTGGTTTGTGCAATATTGAAATGTGGTAGTCATATGTCATATTGTGTTGGAGTTTATACAAACATCACAACCAAAACGTCAAGGCTAAATATCATGTAAGGCTTTCATGAGCAGAACATTTTCTAGTTGGCTGTTGAATTAAAGCATTGGCCTTTGAGTCTGTGCTCACTTCTTGCCCTTGAAAAACGCTTCCCTTAACTTTGGAAAGCACTGACACCCTCTATAATATCTCTTATATCAAACCCCAAATCCACAGTTCACTTTCTTCAAAGAATCTGAAGCTGAAAGAGGCCTATATTCTCCTCTACAGATCATACAAAAACTTCCCATTTCATTCCATTGCTTTGTATGTATAGCTCAAAGATAATCTTATGGGATTAAAGTATCTCATAAGATTATCATTGCCTGGAATAAAGGTATACATTTAAACTGAACAAGACAAAAAAAGAAAATCTTCAGACAGCCAATCATTATCCACAATTTTCCTCATGATTCTGTTTCCAGTTATATTTGTGTATGTTTTCGATAAACCAGAGGCCTGTACTACGAAGCTGGATTTTCGCTTAGCCGGCTGACTTCAGGGAAAACTCGGGCTTTCCGGTCCTACAACGCTGGTTCTCTTTTTAGCGGGCTAGATCTCCATGGTAACTTATGCTGAGCGGCTAACCTCCTCGGGAGGAGGTTAGGTTGCAGGCTAAGAGATCAACTCAGTGAAAGCACCGCCTGCTGACCAATCAGAGCTCCGTGTGCGGAGTTTAAAGCTATCAAGTCATATTACAGGATAGAGGAAATACAGAAAAACTGCCGTTGCAGGAAAGACGGCCGGCAAAAATCAACTGACTGTGTGAACGTGAAAATTAATAGAATATCCCCTCCCATCTTCAGAGCAATCTGACTATTATAACATTAGCGTTAAGAAAGCTTACTTAAATATCTGCCACGACATAAGTAACCGGATCAGAGTAACATTAGTACAGTCCGCGGCACTGTGAGTGCAGACGTCGATGTGTCCCATTATCATTCATATCATATCACATCATAATGTATCATATATTTCCTTATTTGAGTCAGCTTCTTGAGCCGTATCTGGCCGTGCAACACTCACAGTGTCACATACTGTATGCAGAAGTATTATTTTAAGCAACACATTAAGTTGACGAAACACTCGAGTCAAATGTAATTAAAGTCAGATCGTGTCTTGGACGGGGCAGTGATTTCATAAACCTGTTAATGTATGCATTCAAACGCTTTTTCTTTTACCAGCTGTAATCACCTTGCAGGTGCAGCTATGTGGCTTTTACCCTGGATAAAGTGTTTAAGTCATGGATGTTTAAAGTTTAACTTCTTCATATTTGACTAATATTAAAGTTCACTTTTCATTCAGGAAGTATGACGCTGTGCTGTCAGTACGCTTGTCCATGTTTGTGATTGGTCGAATGCTCCAAATACCACCCCTTTCATGTGAACGCGCACCTAACTAGATAGGACACGGCTGGCTTGAGCGATCCACTTGATATCCAGCGTCGTAGTACAGTTTAGCCAGAGCGCGTATGTTTTGGATTGGGCCAACCGGCTAACTCAAACATATCCAGGTTAGGAAAATCCGGCTTCGTAGTACAGGCCTCAGGCAGACGTTTTGTTTGTTATTATAGCAGCTATCGGATGGAATTAATACATGGGCTGTACAGGTTGTCATGTCTGACTATCACAAGTAGAATCATAATGAAAAATACGCCGGTAAAATGTGCCTGTAGAAAACGGCTTAGCAAGTAGTCAGTTTAGCTTCGGTTGCTATGCTAACATCACCCATGTTATACCAGAGAAACTTTCATAACAGCGTTGTGATGAAAATAGCGTCAATTCAGACTGACACACATTCACTTAAGGGGAACTGGGGATATGTATCAGCTGCTTGTGTGACAGTCAGACAGTGAATACTTTAGAGCCGTGTGAGCTAACCCGGAGCTAACGGGAGAATAAACTCCCGTGGAAGTGCAGCCAGCACTGCAGCGGTCGGTAAATGCCGCTGAAACACATTAATAAACAATGAACCACGGCACTCTGGAGAAAAGTATAAGGTTGGAGAAGTCGTTATTTAATTTAATCTGGCTTCGTATGATTAAAAGCAACACGATCATCGACCCGACGCAGTCCCCGGCCCGTTGTTGTTGTGGGAGAAAATCAGCGACGTAAACTGTGACGTCATGACGCAGCAGCGGCAGCTCTGGGCGGTGTGAACAGAGCGGGAGCTGAAAAGGGAAACCGGAGCTGAACCAGAAAAGCTCTCGCTAGGAGCTAGAAAGGGAAAAGCGCTGGTGTGAAAGCCGCATGATAGTGTTACGTTATTATGAGAGTGCTCTCATACTTGTTTGATTCTGAAATTGTATATATATATATATATATATATATGTATATATATAAACATATATATACCTATATATATATATGTGTGTGTGTGTGTGTGTGTGTGTGTGTGTGTGTGTGTGTGTGTGTGTGTGTGTGTATATATGTCCGCATCTGTAGCCTGTTATTGTCTCATTATACCGCACTGTCAATTAATTAAAAGTAAATGTATAAGTCGTCATGAACACATCTGTCCATCAGACAGAGGGCTGCTGTGCCTCCTGTCATCATTAACGGACGTCTCTTTAAAATGACCGCTCAGAGGAGAGGAGTTCTCATTTCTCTAACCGCCTGCTGCCTCCCCTCCGCTCTCCTCGGTTCCCCACCTCGGCTCCTCCGCTCTCATCTCCTGTGGGCGGGACTAAGGCCCAATCCCAAACCACGCCCTACACCCTACCCCTACACACTACCCCTCCGTTTGCGCGTTCGCGCGGAGGGTCCGCCACATTAAGTGCTGTTCCAAACCAACGAGTGTGGAGAGTAGGGGTGGGCGGATCGATCCCAAAATATCGATACTTCCGATATTACGTTACGTTTCAAAATATCGATACTCGAGCCAATAGGATCGATACTTTTATACTTTTTTCCCCCTCTCCTCTACTCGTCAATTTCATCAAAAACTATGTGCAGACGAACACAAGTAGGCCTATATACGCTCTTTTCTTCTCTCTCCACTGCTGTCCTCCTCTCCTCGAGGCTCGCGCACGCGTCCACCGCTTCATGCGCGCTGTCGGAGCGAATTCGCGTCTGTCCACGTCTCTGCATTGACTTTACATGTAATCGCGCCGCCCCCAAACAGCGCATCGCGTCCGGTGTGAACGCAGCATGACAGCAGCCAGCAGGGCAGGACAGCAGCAGCCAGCGACTCGCGAGTGTGACACACGCGCATGATGGCTGAGAGAAAGAGGAGCGTTGTGTGGAGCTATTTCACAACTGTCAATGAAAACTTAGCGAACTTTGATGTGTGCAAGAAGGCAGTTCGCTACTGTGGCCACTTTGTATTGTTATTTTTCATGTTTGCACTTTAAATTTGCAAAAGTAAAACGTTTATTTGTCTATAAAAACTGTCCTATCTTTAATCATGAAAATGAATTCAGATTTAGTCTATTTATGATGCATTCAGCTCAAAAATCATGTCATGCAGCTCTCCCCTACATGAAAGTACATAAGAAGCTTTTCATTTTAAAAAGTATCGGTATCGGTATCGGCGATACTGGCCCTGAAATACTTGGTATCGGATCGAATCCAGATTTTGTGGTATCGCCCACCCCTAGTGGAGAGGTGTGGAGGGGGAGTGGGCTATCAAGCCCTCAAACAGCGAGTCTGCATCGGTGCTGACTTGAGACTGGTCTCTACCTGACCGGAGTCACACTGGGTGTTTCTCAATCGCGAGTAACGAAACACTCGAGTCAAATTCTCCTAATTAAAGTCAGATCCACTCGTGTCTTGGACGGGGCAGTGATTTCATAAACCTGTTAATGTACGCATTCAAACGCTTTTTCTTTTACCAGCTGTATTCACCTTGCAGGTGCAGCTATGTGGCTTTTATCCTGGATAAAGTGTTTAAGTCATGGATGTTTAAAGTTTAAGTTCTTCATATTTTACTAATATTAAAGTTCACTTTTCATTCAGGAAGTATGACGCTGCGCTGTCAGTACGCTTGTCCATGTTTGAGATTGGTCGAATGCTCCAAATACCACCCCTTTCATGTGAACGCGCACCTAACTAGATAGGACACGGCTGGCTTGAGCGATCCACTTGATAACCAGCGTTGTAGTACAGCTTAGCGAGAGCGCGTATGTTTTGGATTGGGCCAACCGGCTAACTCAAACATATCCAGGTTAGGAAAATCCGGCTTCGTAGTACAGGCCTCTGGTGGTCATACTTAGTCCATCAATACTGCTCATGTTTTTTTATTCTATTATTGCTCGTCATTGCTCAAACCTCTCCTCATGTAATCACTTTGAGTGCTCAAATGCTTTTAGTGAGAACAACACTTTTTCCCCCCCTTTTTTTTAAAAACCCACATTCCTTGTTCACAGGAAATGGCTTCCAAACAGCCAATTGGCTACAAATGTTGCATAGCAGGAGTGCTGCTTCTCCTCTTGGCCAGCGTTGCCGCCCTAGTTGCTGTTGCTGTCATCCAGGACACCTGGAGGTTCAATGACTACAGCTATGAGGTAAACATGAACACACACAATGGATGGTCCCATCAATCTGTGCACTATTTGGCTGCAGATCTTCCTCAATTCAACAAAGAACAAAACAGTTCTCAATACAGAGAGAGGGACAAGAACTGGTTTACAAACCCTTCAGATCACCAACACTCTCATTATGTGAATGTGATGCCAGATGGTTTCCAGATGTTAGGGTAATTTCCATTGAAAGGGGTCATCAGTCAGTGACACTGACAATGTGTTTTTTCAGGGGTGGACAGGGTAACAACAGCCTCTTTATAGTTTAATTGAATGCTTATAGTCTCAGCTCTCTCTCTCTATATATATATATATACACATACAAACCTCTTCATTAGGTGTATTTAACTAATCAAGGTAGAGGGTAAATCAGGTCAAAAGGAAATGAAACATGTGGACCAGTAACAACTAGAAAATGCATTTCCTGCAGAAAATGCGTGCGAATGCTGTAAACTGTGAACATTTGTGGCTGAATTTAGCTGAAAATGCAGAAAAAGCTGAATATGTTATTTGCTGAATGGTAGCTGCTTTTAGCTACAAAAATGCAGAAAAAGCTTAATATTTAAAAGAAAAGGTTTAAAAAAACATGTATAGCCTTGATGTCCTGAAATAGCTGAATAATGTAATAGTTGAATGGTTTCTGCAGCTGAAAATAGGCTGAAGGAGTTAAATATCAGATGTAAGTAGTAGTGAATGAATTTGTATTAAAATGAGAAAAGAAAGTAAAAAGGCTTGGGAAAGCAGCAGAATATTTGAACTACAAACTTTTGAACTAACTTGATGGTGAATTATCTGTCGCCATGGCAACGGCATTTGATGACACCCCATAATACGCTTAGATGTGTTGATGGCTGCATCGTTACCAAACCTGTGAAGTTTTGGGCCATTTCGAGCATTTTCACCGAAGTTATGAGAAAACCGTGTTTCATGGTGAGCATTGTGTTGCCATGGCAACGGCATTTGAAGAAATCTCAAAACTGTCCCGTAGATGTCTTCACGGCTGGACTGTTAGCACACATGTGAAGTTTGAGCACTTTTTGAACATTTTCATAGGAGTTATACATTACATTAGGACAGGGGTAGCCAACACGGTGCCCGCGGGCACTTGGTCGCCCGCAGGGGCAACGTGAGTCGCCCGCGGGGCATGTTCTAAAAATAGCTCGCCAAGCAAATCCAAAATGTATAAAATACACAAAACAAAAAAGGAAATGTAATTAAAAGAATCTACCCTATGCATAAATGAAACCTAAATCATAGCGAACTCTATCTACTTACTACAACTCTATATCTATCTAACACCCCTCCTCCCCCCACCCCCACAATGAATATCGACCAATCACGTTCTTGCTTGATTTGCGGGACCAGCGTTGCAGTCTGGAAGAAAAGCAATGTGGCACCTCCCCGCTGATTTTCCTTCTGGCAGAATCTACACAACACATCAGCCCCATTGAACAGCCTATCATGCCAGCCTATACAGCACATGGGGGGCAGAGCTTTACTCTGCGTGTTGCAACTTGCATATATATTTATTGCACTTGACGCACAAACGCATGGCGTAATTTCCACCTGGGACAGGGGGGAAATGTCCCCCGCTCTTTTCGAAATCCCGTTTGTGTCCCCCCACTTTAAAAATATGTTTATTATTATTTTTTAACGCAAGCCGTCGATCGCCACGGAGGAGCTCACAGCCTCTGTGAGCGAGCGAGACAGAGAGCGAGACACAGAGAGAGAGAGAGAGAGAGAGAGAGAGAGCGAGCGAGCGAGCTAGGGAGAGAGAGAGCGAGCGAGCTAGGGAGAGAGAGAGAGAGCTAGGGAGGGAGTGAGGGAGGGAGGGAGAGAGAGAGAGAGAGCTAGGGAGAGCATACCTTTATCTATTTAATATAGATAAAGTAAGAAATCATTCCAATGTGTACTATAGGACAGTAAAAAAAACAAAAAACTGTTTGAAAAGTAAAATAAGCATACATAAAAAGAAAGAATGCTAACTAGGTAAGATAAGAATAAACCAGTTGAAATGATTTGTTATTGGTTGTGATCATATTCTAAAGATGTTTGGATTATTGAAAAGTATACAGCTCTCTTTCATCTGAGTGTTGAGAGCTGTATCCATCAATTCATGTTGTGCTCAAAGTGCTCCAGATTGATGCTTTTCACTTCAACATTTAAAAATAATCTTCACGGGGGTGCATGCCCCCCGACCCCCCTAGAGGAGGTGAGGACCCCCCTAGAGGAGGTGAGGACCCCCCTAGAGGATGTGAGGTCCCTTGTTTACACCCTTCATTCCATTTAAAAGCAGAGATAGGTACACAATGCCTAGGATAGATGACTTTTCTGTAAGCATGAAAATTAACTATTTTCCAAATATATATATTTTTAGAGATCTTGCAGAAAAAACAGGTGCTCTGGATTCCTTGAAGACTCCATGTATTTCATGTTTGCTTCTGTGAATGCAGGTACCATTCAAGTTTGTATAAAATGTAAAGATGCTTATCAATTTCCTTCTTATTCTCACAGGGCACAGCCAGTGAGGCCACCCTGGTGTCCATGCTCGCCGCCCGCTGTAAAGCAGTCCGCCGCATTCAGGCCTCCAACCCTGAGAAATCAGAGGCTGATATCCTCTCTAAACTGGTGGCTTACACTTCAGAGCAGGTAAGCACAAACAAATATTTACAATCTCACATACTTCCTGTTTAATGCACAGGCCAAGCGTACTTATACTACTTATACAGATTTCATATTTATTATATCTACAAGTGCAACAATCTTGACTTCTGTAGGGTCTTACTTAACATATTGTTCTTGTAAACTTCCATTATTAAAGGTCAGGAACAGTAAAAGAGATTTTCAGTGATTTAGCGAGACAGAGGGTCAAGGCAGTAGCTAACTCTGATCAGGTTTAATACCAGGCTGACTGTGATTGGGTTAGGGAGTCGCCTGAGGGCCACACAGACCTTTACAGGGACAGCAGTTTGTGTTTCTACTGAAGAACACCATCCTTATATCCAGGTGTACATGTCTAATCTATGTGTGTATTTATTTCTGCATACGTGTTGTGAAGTTAAGATGGGTTTATCTTCTAAAAGCTGAAGGAGATTCATCTGGCGTACAGTGCATTTCTACAACATGTTTCAATTACTTCCTCCTTAGGCTCATTCTTCAGTGGAGCGTGCTTCTCTGATTGCTGGAGTGATGATGAAGAAGGTTCCTGCAGACAACAACTATGGTGTAGAAGGAGCCATGCTTAAGAGGATGCTGGAGCAGGACAAAGCAGATGGACTCATCCCTTTCCATGTAAGAAAATAAAACACTATTTATTCATCCCATTTGCACAGAACACATGGACATAAAATACATTTCAACATTAGATATGGGTGATTTTACCATTGAGATACACACATCTGTCAGTACATTGCTTTGCAAAACATGTAACACTAACAAACACACACAACTGAGGGAAAAGCTGCAATGATACAAAGTGTGTGATGATGCTATGCACACCCTGAGGCTTCTGCTGTTTGTGGTGAACTTAATGTATGTCTATCAGGTTAAGGACAATAATCCCTGTCTCAGCTGGTCTCACCGATCACTATCAGTGAACAACAGTAGGCTGAAATGGTCCAGGAGCACTAAACCATCAAAGATATCCAGATTTAAATGAGGATATAAAAGGAATTAGATAAAAGTGATATTGCACAGTACCTGAAATAAGTGTGAATTTGTAATCTTTACATTTATATTATAGAGAGTGCCATTATTGTGACAGTAAAAATGAAAAAATGTTGTACCAATTTTTGAAATTGCTACAGGTAACAAAGCACTTCGGGACGTGAATGATTTGTACTGTATGTCTGTGTCTTTTTCAGTTCTGTGCGACCCTTGGCACCACGCCATCATGTGCTTTTGATCACACCACCGAGCTGGGGCCAATATGTGAGTCAAGCTCACACACACAATTTTCTTTTGTTTTACAACAGGAAATGGATTGTAAGCTTTTGTGTGTGTGATTGAGAAACAGACAGACACAAAATGATTTAGTCTGTCAGTTTACCAAACATTCAGTATCTTCCTTCAAAATTCAGTACAAATGATATGCAACTCGTTTCCAAATATATATCTTGGAAATTCATGAATCATATTTTTTATATCTCAGGTTATTAAATCTTGATTGTCAAAAGTTGTTATTTTTAAAACCTTAATAGCCTCTCTGTTTTGTGTCTGTTCCAGGTAATGAAGAACAGATGTGGATGCACATTGATGCAGCATATGCAGGGAGTGCATTCATCTGTCCTGAATTTAGGCCTCTGTTGAATGGCATTGAGGTGAATGGCATATAAAATATCAAAGCGTTCCTGTTCAATTAGTAATGATGTTTAGTTACTCAGTTTTGACATGGTTTGAATCTCGATCATCCCAATATGTGCAGAACAGACTTGATATCGTGTGGTCAAAATTTGAAGTGTGCATCCACCTAAATACAAGCTGAAGGAGAAAACAGCCTATTTCTGTTCAATTAGTTGTAAAATATCTCTCATTCGATCTATAAAAGGCAACAATAACTGCATGCTGATTATATCCAGCTGCTTTATTTTTGTTTCAAAATATCATGACGTTAATGTCAAGGAGGAAGCATGCACGAGTGAGTAATAGGCCGAACAATCGGCATTGGTGCAGGAGCATCAATCTGCCTTTTGAAGCTGCCGAGGAAGCTGTTGCTCGCCGTGCAGAGACGCAGAGATAAGGACAGAGTAATTTCCTGAGGCAGCGTTAGACCTTTATATATCACTGTTTATTAGCCACACAAGTTCAAACAATGTTGGTGGGAAGACTCAGAAATCGACTTGACTGTAAAGACCAACTGTGGTTGCATCTAAAATTATCTATTGGAACACATTTCCCTCTTATACTTGCAATTTTACATTTTATTGGAATTAGTATTTAGGGTCCTTCTATGAGGAAGTGGTGAAGGGATTACTTATTAGAAAAGCCTACTAATTGTATCCGCATGCTGTTATATAAAGTATATTGTAGTTATAATGTAAACATTTGGAGCCAAAAAAGGTGAATTTGAATGATCCAATGAGAAGATGGTGTGTGTTTTAGGATGAGAGTGCAGCCCTGCTGGAGGGCTGGTTGCTAGGATATGACTGATGGGCGAGCAGGAAACCAGCCCCCTTTGAATCAGTCAGCATGGCAACAGTCAGCCAGGAGTCTGCCTCACATTGTCTCTCCACGCTGAGTTATTGCATTTGTGGAGGTGGAGAAAAGGATATTACAAAAGATAGCCAACATAGAGATGAGAACAGATTGGGAAAGGTTTGTTTCTCTTTGAAGAAACGCTGCCAGGAAAGGGTTACTTTCCCTGCGCTCTGCAAGCTGTCGGCTGAGTGTTCCTCCTTTGCATTTCAAATATACTGAGGATGCTTTAGTCCAGATAACGCTGTTGGTGAAAGGGTGTCACTGACTGCGTCAGTAATGGTAAATTAAGATGTAGTAAGATGTGTGTTTTGGTCAACACACATTTTTCAAGTTTAACTAAAGATACAGAAATAATATTAATACTTTTATAACCATTAATTTCATGTATTTTGTTTTACTTCCTAAAAATATTAAGCAGTATATGCACACAATGAAATACACTGATATTTAATGAAATCATAAATGTTTTATTTAGATTTTCGTTATTTCATACATACATGTTAAATCAAACTTGATTCCTTTCTATTGTTTATTCTCTTTTCTTCTAAAGTTTGCAGACTCATTCAACTTCAACCCACACAAGTGGCTTTTGGTCAACTTTGACTGCTCTGCAATGTGGTAAGTTATACATTTCATTATAGCGTGTGACACTAAACCCCGAGATTTATCATCCCTCTTTTTAGCATTTAGCATGGTGTGTTTGTGAGTGTCCAACAAGGACAGAACTTAAATGTGTTATAAAAGGCCACAGGGCTCATATTACCTTTGTCACATTTAAAGAAAACATACAGATATGAGGGTGTCTGATACAAAATTATAGCCAATGACGTCAACAAAAAGGAGGTTGTTCAAGTCACACTATTATATACTGATGTACTGTAATGAACTACAGTGTGAAGAATAAGACATTTAAAAAGGGCATATGAGTAAGCATTTTTGACATAATAATGTCAGTATATATGTCATATCAGTATACTTATTATTATTATTATTATAATAAACTCAATTGAGGATCAGTGTGTTATTTGGTTTGATGAAAATATTACAAAGATGTGGAAGATCCTGTAGACTTCTGGCCCAGCTGCAGGTTCATGGGCCATGACAATAACACCTTCTGTATTTTGTCAGATTATTTACCAATTTAGCTCAGAGTGACTCATTGCCCCATAAAGTAACAAAGAGTAATCCATTTAAAACCGGTTTCCATCTACACCTCAATCATTTGTAGAGTAAAAATAAAACTACGCCTCCCATCTGCCCTTCTGTCAGCAGCAAACAAAACGAGACATGCTCTGAACAAGATGCAAACAGAGGTGAATCAAATCTGACAGAAGGGGGCGGGAAGAGGGGATAAACCCTTTTTCCATCAGCTCTGGCTCAGCCTGTCACTGCTCACAGGATAACTGTTGACTTATATTTATTTATTTAATGCAGTATATTTAGACACTAAGAATACCCTATACTGTGTAAATCAGTACACCATACTAATAATGTAGTGTATTACTATCAGGTTATTTAAGACACATGTCATATGTAAAATACAACAACACTAGGGGAACACTAAACTATTACTAAACATAATATATGATGGTGCCAAATCTATAAGATTCCTTTGCCCTTATTAAATGGTCAGTTAATATTTGATGTAAACATTATCTCTGCTTGTCAAAACCTATCAACAGGGTAAAGAAGAGAGAGTCAATTATTGGAGCCTTCAAGGTGGAACCTCTTTACCTGAAACACGAAAACCAGGAGTCAGGTTAGATCATTCACTTATAGTATTTGAATCAATGATCACAGATCAGGTTGAATTGACTTTGGCCTTTACAGCAGAACATGACAACAATGAACACCTTTTACCTTGTTTACTGTTTAGTTGTGAATAGGGCAGTTAGTTTGAGCCATATTTCCGATTAAACATTAGCTGCTGAAGCATGCACCAACCTCTTAAAACGCAGTGTTGTGAAGCCTATCCAGCTTAAATAGGCATGAAGGTGAATGTCTGACAACCAGACAGTTGTACAAGAGTGTTCTTGTAAACCTATGTTTGTGAGCACATTTTCACAACTCGATGCTAGCTGAAGTTACGTTTTTACCTTTGTGACCTCACATAATATATATACAGCCCAAAAACATAATCTCGAAAAATGTCAACAAGACCTAACATAGAAAATAATATATAATATGCATCAATGTCTGTGTGTTTGTCTTCTGTGTGTATTCTTTACATGCTATTAGCCTGCAGATGGGCTCAGAGCTGCTCTGTAATTTGTCTGTCACACAAGCACACAGAGGGAAAGACAAAGCTACCTCACCACACTGAGGCACCTCACGAAAAGCCATTCGCTTACAAAATGTGGGTTCTTCCATCTAATGAGTGGTTTCTAGCTCCAGCTAAAAAGAGATGAGCTATCTGTAGCCAGTAGCCTGTGTGGGCTGACTGAGATGTGGGTGGGGGGCATGGGGGGCACGATGACACAACATCTGGACGGTGGAAGGCAATGCCAAATACAACACCTGACAATAGATCATTTTCTAAAGCGAATAATGTTTAATGTCAATGCTTTGTTCATTTCACTCTATACAGTACAGTACACTGTAAAATGTTTGGCTGTAAAATTACAGTAAATTACTGGCTACTAGTTGCATGGATTTCACAGTAATTGACTGTAAATATTTCACAGTAAATTAGAATAAAAGTACAACTAAATACTGTGACTTTACAGTTGCCATGCCCATGGAATTACTGTGATATAGCAGTACAGAGCTGTGGTATTATGGTACCTTGCAGTACCTAAATTACAGAAATTACCTGTATCTTCACACTTTTACTGTAGAAGTAATACAACACAGTAGCCAGTAATTTACTGTAAATATAAAAATGTAAATAATATGATAATATATTGTAAATTTGACTAGTTAACTGGGATTTTACCATAACTACACAATTCAATCAGCTCAATCAACAAAGAAAACAAAGAAAATGCCCATTTTAACTTTCTATTACTCCATTGAAGTGCAAAGTATTTCACAGTGTCTTGGACATGTTGTTACGGCCCCAACCTCTACTCCGCGGTAGTGGCTCGTGCTGAGACCCGCAACATGAAAGAATACATGCAATAACCGGTACTTGGTAACGAGCATTTATTGATAATCAGCCGTTTGCTCACACAAGCGAAACGGGAAACAAAAAGAGGTCAGGAGGACTGGCCAAATGGAACAAACAGAAGGAGGGAACCCGAGCCAGCCACACCACGGACCGTAGGACCCAGAGCTTCCCCCCCCCTAACCAGAAATCAAATATAAACCCTATGGGAAACAAAATAAAACCACGAAAACTGGACTACCAGGTCCTCCAGGCTAAACATAAACACATCTGCACAAATATGGCCTACAGCTCAAAATGGCAAAGAGGTATTCTAAGGAGAGTGTCTCCCTGCGTTAGGATAGGCGACACATCCTTCTCCTCCAGCTTCTCTTTATATATACACGACTGAGTGGAATTTGGAACACCTGGGCAGAGGCGGAGCCAGGGGCAGACCAGGTGCACCTGGGCAGAGGCGGAGCCAGGGGCAGACCAGGTGCACCTGGGCAGAGGTGGAGCCAGGGGCAGACCAGGTGCACCTGGGCAGAGGTGGAGCCAGGGGCAGACCAGGTGCACCTGGGCAGAGGCAGAGCCAGGGGCAGACCAGGGCCCGTTCTCATGTCATCAAATGTCCCTCCTCGACTCCTCGACTCCTCGGTTCTCCGGTAGTGACCCGGAAATGAATTTTAGCGCGCCATGTTGAAGGACATCTCAGTTCTCTAAATGCACATCGAGGACCGAGCATCGAGCGTAGAGGAGGCTCTCTGGAGGAGCTATAACCGAGGATACACTGATGGGTCCTCCACGGTCCTCCACGGCTCCTCCGTGGATGCATTTCCGGGAACAGAGATGTTTCAAAGAGTCGTGACGCATGGCCGGTGTAGGTACCATATGTGTTCGGCCTACCAGATGTGTTCGGGGTCCGTTACGCTTACCAATGACGTCACGCATTGGCTGCACGGTAACTCAAGAGGACATTTTACACGGTCAAATTCCGAATGTATTGAAACTCCAGACTCAACGTAAGAGCTTGAGCCTCTTCGGGGGGTGCTAACATTTAAACATACACTTCATTCTTTACTTTGTCCGTTATTATATGTAGAAGATATTACTTTTTTCCCCGTTTTTTTTTCAAATTGAATTTATTGAAATCTCCAATATCAACGTAAGAGCTTGTGCCTCTTCGGGGGGTACTAACACTTAACCATAAACGTTATCGTTTACTTTCTCCGTCTTTATATGAAGATATTACTTTTCTCCGTTAATCTCTGTCACGTTGTTTCCAAAGCAACAACAACTTCCTGTCAACTGCGCTAACTCTCCTTCAAAATAAAAGCATGTCCATATTACACTTAAGACATATACAACTGCAACGAAAAGTAACAAACACAATGCGATATCCTTTTCAATTTCAAAGAACACAAATTGGGTTACATTAACAAATAACTATAAAACAACAATACTGTAGAATAACAAAATGAATGCCGTGAATACACCGAAATACACGTGTTGAAGCGGTTCGCTGCTGATTACTACGATTACCGTACAGCCAATCACAATGGGTGACGTCATTGGTAAGCGACGGACCCCGAACACATATGGGCCCTTTCTCATGTCTTCAAATGTTCCTCCTCGACTCCCCTCCTCGACTCCTATCCTCGAGACTTACGGGCCGTCTCCACGGCAGCGTTAAAAAATCTTGAAACGCTTCTGCCCATTCACTTTGAATGGGGTGACGTCACTTTTTTTCGCTTTCGCCGAAATGCATTGTGGGCAGGCGAGCGGAGATTCTCAGGATTTTCAAGATCCAAAGTTGAACAATGTTCAACTTTTGAGGCTGAGGTGGAAGCGTCAGCCAATCAAATCCCGTGTACGCAAATCTGACAGTTCAAGCTCTAGCCAATCAAACGGCGTGTATGCTGGGAGAGAAATACCGCAGGTCATTTCCTCATATTCCAAAAAATGGAGGAGAAATTAGCGGTAGCGAATCAATCACCCGGTGCTTTATGACCAGACCTACCGGGATATAAACCGGAGGAGCCAGGCATGGAGGGAGGTGGCAGAGACAGTGGTAGGTTTTCGCCTGTTTTGGGGAGTTTATATCCAGTTTACTTCGGGCTTTTTTGCTTCGTATGTCGCGGGCGGGAGATTCATGTGATTGGTTGCTCGCAAAAAATCCTCAAGCTTCAGATACGCCCACCTCCAAGATTTTTTTAACGCTGCCGTGGAGACGGCCCGTTAGTCCTGCAGGCTCGAGGAGCTAGCATCACAACTAGCATCACAACTAGCATCTCTTCCGCTACAGCAACAACTACGCGACGACAACAGAGACCATGGAGACAGCGGAGACCGAGGAATCAACGGAGACTTCGACATTCCCCCGGGGACGCCTCGGCAGACAGACACGCATGAGGCAGTGACGAGAGGAAGAGAACCGAGATCCGAGGGAACAAATATCCACCATGTTGTTAGCCACCCTGCTAGCATATCGACGGCTAAAGCTACAACGGAGCCTCCCTCCCCCCACCACCCCACCGCTCCAAGCACCACGGCAGGCCGCAAGCCGTTTGCTGTAACGGACAAAGACAAATATCTTCAAGCTGACGACATTATGCATTTAAACAACAAAAATGGACTACATATTTTTCATCTGAACACTAACAGCCTGAGACACAAACTGGCTGAACTCAGGCAACTGTTCATGAACGGTAAGGCAAGCATATTATGCTTTTCTGAGACCAAATTGGACAATTCCATTACAGATTCAGAGATTGAAATTGAAGATTATCTTGTAGTGAGAAGGGACAGGAACGTGAATGGAGGTGGTGTCTGCATGTACATACATAAAGACACCAATTTCAAAAACCGTACTGACCTGCATCATGAAAATATTGAATCTGTGTGGGTTGAAATTCTTTTTGACAATGCTAAATCTGTAATAGTCGGGACAATCTATAGACCACCGGAACAGAGTGACTTTTATGATACATTAGATGGGTGTTTGGCTGATGTGGGGGATGTAGAGACAATTATTATTGGAGACTGGAACACGGATATGCAACGTAAAGACACGTCCGTCTTCAAGTCCTTCAGTAGGATTTGTGATCTGCACGGCTTCAGCCAGCTAATCACCCAACCCACCCGGGTATGTGAAACAACACAAACTACCATTGATCTCATTCTGACCTCTGACAGGTCCAGGATCTCCAGTAAAGGGGTTATAGCATGCGGTTTAAGTGATCATTATATGATATTCTGTACCCGCAAAAAGCTAAAACAAAAGGCCGGCTGTCACAAAACAGTCATATCTAGAGACCTCAAAAACTACTCTAGCGAGGCCTTTAACCTAGAACTGGAGAGCCTGGACTGGTCAGATGAGCTCAGTGGTACACAAGTTGAAGAAACATGGCTTGGTTTCAAAAACAAATTCTCTGCAATACTCAATGATTTGGCCCCCCTAAGAACAACCAGGGTAAAAAATCGCGCTGAGCCGTGGATGCACTCCGGCATACTGACCGCCATGAAAACCAGAGACAAAAAATGCTCTGAGTTTCATAAAAGTCAGTCAATGCTTTCCAAAAGCACGAGCAGTGAACTCCAGGCCCACGTGACTGAACTAAAAATTGAAAGAAACAGACTAAGAAATGACGTAAGCTCCATGATCAAAACTGCCA